AAGGCTATCAACACGAACGGGGCGAACTCCTACACCTCCTTGTCTTCCTCCTCCTCCTTCTTCTTCTTCTTCTTCTTCTTCTTCTTCTTTTGCGTATCGTCCATTCTTCTCCTCCCTCCTTTCCTTCCTTCCTCCTCCTCCCTCCCTCACCCCCTTCCTCCTCTTCCTCCTCTTCCTCCTCCTCTTCCTCCTCCTCCTGCGGCGGCCGCGTGTCTGCCGCGCGCCGGAAGCACATTGATACCTCGCATACTCGGGAGCACGGCGGCGACGTGCAGCATGGAGTTGCCGAGCGCGAGCGCCAGTCGCCCGCCCCTGGCGCCGTCCGCAGCTCTGCTCCCGCCAGCCGCCGTCGGGCCCCGGGGGCCCGGCGCCCTGGGCCCCGCGGCCGCGGCGCGCCCAGCTCCGCTCGCCCCAGCCGCGGCGGCGCGTCCTCCTCCTCTTCGTCTTGCTCCTCCTCCTCCTCTTCCTCCTTCTCCTCCTCCTCCTCCTCCTCCTCCTCCTCCATGGCAACTGCTGCTATCCATAGTCATGATCATCCCGAAACCGAAGAAAGGAGACCGCGCGCTGGCGCTATTCCCACAACTCTTCCGCTGCTGGGAGCTATTACACAGAGACCGAGTTCGCCAATAGGCCGCAGACCAAGAGCGTGAATGGGATGCCGCCATCGAGGGCAACAGCTGCCCGCGCGAGGCGCTACGACGACTCATCACCGACGAGTGCGCTGACACCTTCAACATGACCGAGTCCATCATCATGGCAGACATCGAGAAGTCAGCCTTCGGATCGACGAGACCATCCGAGCCGCGCTACACATGCAATTCCCAGCGCGGCCACTCTACCTCACGATGCTGCAACACTCCGCTGCACGAGCGCTACGACGACAAGGATCGTACTCCAACCCGCTCTACGCAGACCGCTCCATCCTGGCAGGCTCACGACATGCCAACAATGTAGCGCGCACTCTTGTATACGCGGCGATGGCCAAGCTCACCGATACCAGCACACTTCCTCGACCACTACCGCGCGCTTGGTTCGACGACATCAGCATCCGCATCGTAGGCAGCAGGTCCCAGATCACCACTGCCATTGTGTCCACCACCCACAACCTCTTCCTGACACTATAGGAACAAAGACTCCGACTCGCAGACAAAACCACAACGATGACCACGCACATCAAAGATACTGAGACAATCCAGCGCCAACTCCGTGACCTCGGCATCGACGCGCAGGCATCCACAGAATGACGCGACCTGGGAGCTGACCGAGCAGCACGCGGCACTACCCGACGAGCGACCTGTGCAGCAAGACAGACAGCAGCAAGGCGCCGACTGGGGACAGTACGAACCAATCTCAAGAGACTCCACACCACGACAAAGACCAGGCTTGTACAGCAGGGTGCGATGGCATCCACAAAGTACGGCACCGCATTCCACGGCCTGGCGCCCACAGCGCTACGAGCGACACGCCGACGACACGCACAAGCACTACGTCGACCTTGGCCAGGGCGCTGTCTCACCACCTTCCTCGATTTGGAGGGAACCGACCCAGCATGCATCATTGCGAAGACGCAGTTTTCCAACTGGTTCAGCTGCTGTGCCCGCAGCCCCGACCTTCGAGCACAAATGCGACGCGCGTGGCCCAAGATCTACTTCAGGATGCTCAGGGCACCTGCATCACGACGATGGACACAACGCCGAGGACCCATTGCAGCCATCATCATGGCATTGTGGGAGCTCGGCTGGGACTCCAGAGGACCTGACCACTGGATCGACAGCAAAGGGTGCGACTGGGAGTTCCCACAAGACGGCGAGTTAGGAGACCCTACAGACATCCTCGACGCCATCCTGAACGACGTCCGCGCGAAGCTCTGCACGGCCGCTGCCAGCCGCTACCACGGAGGGGGCCTGGAGCAGCACGGAGCAGACACGACGGAATCTCGACGGCACCTACAATGGCTCAGAAACCACGGTAAGCACCGCGAGTATGGGGGGTTCCTCACAGCGGCATGCAGAGGCACATGGACACGTGCACGGCAGCAGTCCACCTTCGACCACGGCAGCGACCTCTGCGAGTGCGGCCAGATCGACACCGGCTACCACCGCATCTGGAACGAGTGCAGTTGCCGCAGCGACAACCCCGCCTACGCCAAGTCAGACCGACTACGTGCACAGGCCGAAACAGGCCACCACACCACGCCAGCCTGTTGGCTACGTGGTATCACGCCAATGCTTGGTCGGTACCGCCAGAATGCACCACTGGAGAGGAGGCCGGCAACATCGACGAGGTGATCCACGCAGACAAGATCAGCGTATCAGACGGTTCGCCCCTGGTCATCTACGGAGACGGATCGGGAGGCGCGCGCAGTGCAGACTGGCGGTATCGCAGATGTGGATGGGCTTGGGCGCGGCTATCGGGCTCCGAAAACGACGGCTTCAACATTGCAGCTGCGCGCTTCGGGCCCCTACCACGCAGGCGGCAGACAAGCAGCCGAGCAGAACTATGGGCCATCCTAGACTGCCTACGCCACGCCACTGGACCTCTACACTACGTGGCGGACAGCGAACTCGTGTACAAAGGATGGCGCAACAGACGGTATCGAAACAAAGCTACAGCCGACACCAACGACGACCTCTGGAAACTCGTCGGGGAAGCGCTCAACCGCCGCGACGACCAGGGGCCTTCGCGCATAGCAGCCCACCACATCAGCAGCCACCCACATGGGAGGAAGCACAAGCACGAGGGTTTCCCCTCCACGCGCGGCAAGGCAACAGCCATGTGGACAAGCTCGCAGAACAAGCAGCCCACGAGCACGACGTCGGCGACGCCCAAACGTCATGCTACGACTGGGTCAACGCCACGGCAGCGCTTGTACGACGCCGCATCCATCGCCGCCGCCAAGGCCGACGCCATAGACCGGCGCCCAACAGAGGACCGCGAAGTTCGAGCAGCACGAAGAGCCCAATTGAAGCAACGACGGGCACGGCAAAGACGCCGACAGGACTGCTGTGCCGACGGACCACCGCAGCCAGACGGACGACGCCCATTCACCACCCGCGACCTGACGCGGCCACGACGTGGGAAAGGATGGGTACGCAAGTGCTGCACTCAACGAGTCGGACGGAGCACCAGCTTCGAAGGGGTCGAAACTCGGTCCCAACAGGGCTGCGCGGGACCACCACCGAGCAAACGGCGCTCCATCACCCAGCGCGGCCACGCAGCACACCGCAGCCGCCCACTCTTATTCGCGCGAGCAGAGGCGCTCTGGGTTTGCAGGCAATGTGGCGCCACCACTACAGAGTATATCTTGAAAAAGATGCGTTCGTAATGCACAGGTCGCCCTGAGTATAACAGCCTCAGATGCAAGCTGCAATGTTGGCTCGACATCGCTGCGCTCGAGTCCAGCGCCCACGGCCAATCTGACGGCAGCGACGGACGCAGCGCAGACATGCCCAGCGATGACGCCAGGCCCGAGACATGCGCAGAAGGACAGCAACAAGTACAGCAGCACGACGACATTGATCATCAACAGCAGCACGACGTTGTGACCAGCGCCAGCACCAGCAGCACTCCCAGGACACAACCTGCTGCGAACATCGGCGTGGAGGGGGAGGGCGAGCACTCCCTGCGCCCGAGTGCGAGGGCAGTTGGGGGAAGTCAGCGAGGAGATGCATTTGAATGCCCTCGCCCGCGGAACCTGACTTCTCCAACCCAACAAGGCGAGCCGCGGAGCCGATGCAGCGCCGACGCGGACAGGGTCGAGACCGACGAGACCCCGTCACCACCTCCAGACACGGCGGCGACAGAGGAAAGCGACGAGACGAGGAGAAAAATTTGGGTGCAACGACTCCAGAGCGCGGCGACTAGCCAGCAACACATTGGAGAGCAGCAACACGACGCAGACCAGCACGACGTGCAACACCCACGGCGGCAGCACCATCGAGACAAGCACGCCGACAGCAGCGCCACTGAGTCCAGAACGATGAGCAGTGGAACTGGCCTGGACGAAGCAGCTACTGCCACCTTCCCTGGAAGGCATGTCGTGCAGGGTGCCCAGCACTCACGTGCTGGGGGCGCTGCGCGGGGTGCTGAGGATCCCGGGGGGTGGAGCGCGGCCATCTCGGAGGGCGTGCTCAGCACCGAGGCCCCACGCGCCTCCGCAAGACGCGCGTGGAGAGGTGGGCGGCCCCCAGGGGCGCGGCCCACAAGAGCCGAGCCGCGGCCCATGCGCGGCCCGCGCAGGGAGGGCGGCTCCGACCCGGCACGACGATGTACGACGAAGCCGCTGCGGGGCGCAGTGCCGACGTGAGCTGCGACGAGACTCCAACGCCACAGCCGGCCCCAACGCCAGCAGTGGAGAGCGACGAGGAGAGAAAGGAGGAGATGGGTGCTACGACTCCTCGCAGCGGCTACCAGCCAGCTGCACAACGGAGAGCAGCAGCACGCCATCGATCAGCACGACGCGCAGCACCCTCGGCAGCAGCACCACCGCGACCAGCACGTCGACAGCAGCACCACTGCGACCAGCACAACGCGCAGTGGGACTGGATGGGTCGATTCTCCTACTGCCACCTTCCCTGGAAGGCATGCCGCGCAGGGTGCCCAGCACTTGCGTGCTGGGGGCGCTGCACGGGGTGCTGAGGATCTCGGGGATGGACCGTGCCCAACGCAAGGCACGCTCGGCCCCAAGGCTCCACGCGACTCCGCAAGACGCGCGTGGAGACGTGGGCGGCCCCCAGGGGCGCGGCCCACTCGAACCGCGGCCCGTGTGCGGCCCGCGCGGGACGGCCGCGGGGCGGCCGCGGCCGCGGAGGGACGGAGTCAGCCATCGCGGCCGGGGGGGGACCTCTGGAACCTCCTCCTCCTCCTCCTCCTCCTCCTCCTCCTCCTCCTCCCTCTGCTTCCTCCTCCTCCTCTTCCTCGCCCCCTGCGGTCCTCCTCCTCCTCCTCCTTCTCCTCCTCCTTCCGCGGCTCCCCTCCTGGCTCTTGGTGCATCCTTCCAGGCGGAGGACACCGCTGGGCAGCAGCCCCGCCCTCATGAGGCCCACGGCGCAGCCGCGGGCACCGCGTTGACCTCGCTGTGAAGTCTCGTTGGGTTTCCCGAGGAGGAGGAGGACGACGAGGACGAAGACGAGGACGAGGACGAGGACGAGGACGAGGACGAGGACGAGGACGAGGACGAGGACGAGGACGAGGAGGAGGAGGAGGAGGAGGAGGAGGAGGAGGAGGAGGAGGATAGGGGGGCGGCAGGGGAGGAGAGGCCGCGGTCAACGAATTCTCAGGCCACCAGGAACCAGGGGGAGGTGGAGGGGGACGGGGAAGGGGAGGGGAGGCGGCGGGAGGAGGAGGAGGAGGAGTAAGAAAATGAGGATGAGGATATGAGGAGGAGGAGGAGGAGGAGGAGGAGGAGGAGGAGGAGGAACAGAAGGAAGAGGAGGAGGAGGACAACAAATTACTCCAGCATTTATTCCTAAGGTTTGCTTGACGTTAAAAAGAGGAGGAGCAAGACGAGGACGAGGAAGAGGAGGAGGATAGAGGAGGAGGAGGAGGAGGAGGAGGAGGAAGAGGACGGGAGGACCGAAGCAAACGCATAATGCATCAACAATACTGCGCTACCCCCCGTCCCAAGCCGTTTCCCCATGGTCTCTAGAGGAGCACACTCGAAAACAAAAACATGCACGAAGGATACATGGCTTCCTTTCTAATGTGGACAGCGCCCCCTTGAATGACGAGCCTGCGGTGTGCGTGCTACTGAGGCAAACCCATTCCATAAAGGATCCACCCTCTATCCTTCCAGGTGCAATGATTTGACGCAGGCGCCCCCTATATGCGCACGGTTTCACTAGCAAGTTTCCTTTCTGTGAGTGGTTGAACTAAGCAAGTCTGAATGTAAGTGAGACGACCTACAGTTGATTGAGTACAGCAGGGTCTGATTGTATTGGTGTCTGGGCACGGATGCGTCTCCCATGGCGGATCCCACATCGAAATGCCCAACCGTTGTGATTGCGATATGGCGATGGTCATGGGGCTCTCAAGAGACGTTCCCACAACCTGGGCGTAACCGGGCAAGAGTGTTACATCCTTGCGCCCCCCCCCTCCTCCTTTGTGGGTGCTTTTGTGAGACGTCTGCTGCATCGCGGTGATCATGGGTCTCTGAGGGGGCAGGAGACGGGGGCCATGCGAGCATCTCGTTTGAACCATCCCCGCCATCTTGACGCGAATGGGCAAGTGGAACACCCCCTGGCGGCTCTTCCTTGGGGTGTTCACCTGCTATGCTTGCTACATCGCTGTGGCCATACGGCTATGAGAGGAGACATCCGGGCGGGGGACCGCCCATTTCGACCGATGCATTCCTGCAACTTGAGCGCGAACGGGTGGGTACAACATGGTGTAACACTCTCAGGCGGCTCCCCCGTGGGGTGTCCAAGCGCGATGCCTGCTATATCGTGGTGGATATGGAGCTCTGAAAGAGGAGTCGGGGAGGGGTGGGTACACGAACGTTTTGCTCGAGATATTCCCACAATCTGGGCGCGAACGGGCAAGTGTCCTACCCCTTGGCGGCCCCCCTTGGGCGCCAAACCCAGATGCCTGCTACATCGCGGTGAGGAGCGAGTGCGAGGAGGTTTGGTTATGAGTGGTATGGTGAGTGAGCGTATGTGCCCTCAATCCGTGTAAGCGTCGCGCGATGTCGCAGTTCTGGTCAGACAAGTTGCGGCGGAGGTCTCAAGCGAGAGTCCCATCTTGAAAAGAGCCGCCCTCAACAAGTATACTTGCGCCCTGGTTCAGGGCAGGTGCTCGGCCCATCTGGCCACTGCCGCCCATACCGAGAGATCACCAGAGGGCCGCACTCGTCGGTTAGGGGCTGCCACTTGACCTGCGCCCGCTTGGTCCTGAACGCTCCCGCTCTGACCTCGTGGCCAGCACACGCGGAGCCACGAGTAAGGCGCCAGCGGTCGAGCAACTCCACCTCGATGCCCTCCGACAGGAGATCCCAGTAGCGCTGCAGTTCTCGATTGCCCTCAGCTGCGAAAACGGCACGTTGGATTTCGCCCCAGTCGAGCAGGGGCTTGTTGCGCCCAGGTCGCGCAAGCGACAGCACCCTGGCTCCGCAGGCACGCGCTGCCAACGCACCCGATCCTCCACCAAGAGCGGCACGTGCACAGGTACATGTATTGGGAGCTGGAAGGCCTCGACTATCCAGGGCCCAGAGACTTCAGGTAGCATATTGCCGCTGCACACTGCAGAATCTAAAACACGCCCAGTGCCCTCTGAGAGCGATTCAGGTAGGATGGGGGGCAGAGACATAGGAGGGAGTGGAGATTCAGCTGTTGCTGTTGATATGCGCACCGTGCGAGCACGTGGTCATTGTTCTGTGGTGATGAAAATGAGGAGAGGGAAGGCAGGGGGAGAGGTGGAGATGGTTGGAGGGTGAGGGCGGCAGGGGGGTGAGGGGTGACAATTTGTCAGAAGTGTGTGTGTGTGTGTGTGTGTGTGTGTTCCAGGCTGGCGTTGGAGGCCAGATCCCCCCAGTCAGGAGCGTGGCTACAGAATTCGTGTGCGCGCATTTTGTTTAATGCTGGAGGAGCGCAGCCCAGCGGGCCGCCGCCCTTGCAAGCCACACATATCAGCCTGCTACTTCCTAGGAGTGCAGTGCGTATTATTTCAGGCGATCGCAAACATGGATCAAGGGGGCGTTGATTAGCGACGGATTCCGTTTCCATGGGAATCGCGGATTGCCGCCGCTGAGCGAGGCGGCACCGGCCGCATTGAGGGTTGCAGGCACCTCCCCCGATCCATGGACTTGGCGACCGCGCGCCAAATCCATGGATCGCTAATCCATGTTTGCGAGCCCCCCATTATTTCGCCGTGCAACCTCAGGTCTGCACCAACCTGTCTGGAACCTCCACAACTACGAGTAGTTGAGTCGGGAGGTCACTGCGTAAAGCGCAACTGTTGCTCCTGCCAGCCCATTGCCGCTTATGCACAAGTCGCTGTGATGGCCAGTCTTCTGCGCAGCGCACAGGACTAGTTGCAGCACTTTTTCGCAATGTACGGGCAACTGTGCTAACACCAGAGGGGAGGGGGTGGGACAGGGTGAGTGAACGAAGCACACAAGCTTGGGCATATGTCCATGTCACGCTCTTCCGCGTTCTGAGGCGAGCTATTCCCTGGGGAGGTTTTGGGATGTCTTTGTTCACCAGGCTCTCCTATTTCTCCCTCTTTGTCTGCCTCTGTCTCTATGAGCATATATATACACACACGCATATATATACATATACATATATATAGATAAATGTGTGTTTGTCCTCTCTCTCTCTCTCTTTCTCTTGGTATCTCTGTGTCTATTGACCTCCATTCCTTTCTCCTCCTCCTCCTCATCCCCCTTCTCCTCTCTCTGCTGTCGCTCCGCATCTGCTGTGGCTCTCCTTGCCCCTCTCTGCTAAAGCTCCTCCTCTCCATCCTCTTCCTTTTCCTCCTGCTGATGCTGCGGCGGCTGCGCCCTTCTCCCATGGCAGGCGCGTCTGCAAGCTTGTTAGCACGCTTGCCTGTTGTCGCGAGCATCATGGTGCCACACCCTTTTAACGCGCTGCCCACAGATGGCGCGCGCGGAGGGCTGTGGCATCCACCCTCGAAAATGCTGGCGCCTCAGTCCGTTGCCACGACGATGGGGAGGAATATCATCATGAGGAGGAGGAGGAGGAGGAGGGGGAGGAGGAGGAGGAGGAACAGAGCCCCAGGATGCATCAACGAAGCTCAATACGCCTTCCCGTTCCGAGCCCCCTCCTCATACATCCTCGCAGGCATTCCTTGCCACTTCCCTGAAAGACGAGCGCGCCACGACCACGAAAAGGTAGGACCATCAAATCAAATGAAAAGTACAGCGCGAGCCCCGTTGTGAAGATCAGCCACCTTGATCCGTGCAGCTGTTGCGCAATGTTACACGACGGGTCGTGCATTTTCGAGGAGGTCTCAAGCGATTACCCTTTTTTGGAAAGGAGCAGCCCTTTTTCTTTTTACCTTTAACACAAATGTGTACATTAGGTAGTAATGTGTTCGGGAAGTCTCCATCGAGATGCACGTTGTGAAAAAAGGAGCAGCCCTGGATCTTTTGGACTGGTGGAGACTTGTCAGGCGAATGTGCGCGGCGCCAAGGCGAGGGCCACGAATCCAAGCCACACGAGGCGACTATTCATACGAACTCTCCATGCAATAAGAACACGTTGCGAGGACACTTAGCCCCGCTGTACCTCATGGGAGCCCGCGAAAGTGGCGACGGTTGCGCAGTTCGCAGCCTCACAGGGAGCCGCGAGGTCTCGCGTGGCTACCGCCTCCGCTGGACCGACCTCCTGGGAGCCCACAAAAGTGGCGACAGTTGTGCAGTTGTCGTCCCCCAGGGAGCCGCGAGGTCTCGCGCGACTACCCCATCCGCTGGACCTCCTGGGAGCCCACAAAAGTGGCGACGGTTGCGCAGTTCGCAGGCCCGCCAATAGCAAAGGCACGAGGAAGGGAGGCAAAGAGGCAGGAAGCAGGAGGAGGCGGGAGGAGGAAGAGGAGGAGGGGGAAAAGGAGGATGGAGGCTACAGTGCTTTATTCAAAGCGAGAACCCAACACAAAGGAGGGTTGGGAATTATCTTGACAAACGGCGCAACAATATGCAGTTGTGAGTGCCGCACTTGTGAATATCGTCTTGAGTCAGGCTTCCTATGAGACCACGAAACGTGTGAAAGGTGTGCCGAAATTGGCCCAGGGCGTATGCAAGCCCTGCCACTGGGGCCCTTATGTGGAGCTCCCTTTGGGGCCACGAAGCGTGTGACGGGTGTGCCGAACTTGGCTTAGGGACTCATGTGAGATGTGCCATTGGGGCCTTCGGCAGACCTTCCTTACGGGGCCACGAAGCGTTTGAGGGGTGTGCCCACATGGGTGACACGTGTGAGGGGTGCGCGGAAATAAGCAGAACCGCATGCGACTCCTCCCTCTCCTCCCTGTGGGGCCATGAAACGAGTGAGGAGTGCGCCGGAATAGGGAATGGAACTACGTGCGGACCCTGCCACTGGTGCCTTCTGTGGAGCTCCCCATGGGGCCG